ACTGGCAACATCTAGGTAGTTTTGTAAGACATGCTCAGAAGATGTTCCGTTATATTTCCCATAACGTATTCCTTTGTCAATTCCTCAGTTCATCTTCTCCCATCGATAGTGTCAAAGTCCGAAAGCCTATTTAGCTTATCGTCATGTTTACTCTTTGACTACTGTATTTCCGACCCCTATAATGAGATTGGTCAGATTAAATAGGCTGGCTCTCATCCCTGCAACAAATATATATACTCCGATGTTAATATTAAAAACAGACATACTACCATCGTTCTCGTATAGAAAGTATGTCACAATTCGAGCTAGTCACATTAGCTTAGTTTGTTTTGTTCCTTTTTAGAGCTGTAGTGTTTGAAGAAGAGCTTTTGCTGCTGTTATTACTTTTGTTGTTGTTATTATTACTATTATTTTTTTACCTTTATTATGAGAAATTATTTCCAAATCCTTTTTTATCAGGCTTTTCCTAATTTTGTTTATTTTCTATTCTATTATTGAGGTTAAGTGATTGGTTTGCAGTTAAAACGGGAGTGAAACGGTATTGCATTTTATCTCCCCTGTATTTTGGTATAGCTAATAATTATGGTCTAGCGGCTAGACGCTCGCCTGCGTTTCGGCATGTCATAGGTTCGGTTCCTGACGGGGTCAAACTTTTTTCCAAAAATGACCTTGGCTTCTAGGTCGACCCAGCCTTGAACGGGTACCAGGTACAGTCATGGGAAGTAAAGGCGGTCAGCTTGATGCTGACCACATCGCACCAAGTATTGTTTGGTCAATAAAATATAGGTCTAGCCCTATATACCCAATACGCCTGAAAGGCGGGGAAAAGGGTCCTATACTTTACCTTTACTGATTATGTTAAGAAAAAATGTTGTGTTGGAGACACCGGCACTGGCTGGGTGGAGACCACACGATTGGATCTCGATTTTGCAGGTGGTATTGTTCTGCCAAGTAAGAACAGCAATGACATGCAGTTGGACTATAAATAAGTTGTGAACAGACAAATATATTGACGACAGCAATAACAGATCAAGCAGTTGAAACACTAGAGACACAAATAAAGTAACAGATTAGTTTACTTATTTATGTAGTAATATTGAGAATCACAGAAACACAAAGAACATAAATACTAATCGTCGTTCCTGTGTGGGTTGCAATTTCTGTGTTATTTGAAGCCCCACCCTGGCTTCTGTCGGGGGCACAGAACGGCTAAATGGGGTTTCTGGGACCTCTCCGCGGGTGATCCTCATCCGCATGGTGGCACTTTGTGTCACCGGGTGTTTATCGCTTGTGTGATGTCCTGGTGAGGCAACAAGTCAGTCAGTCAGTCAACACCAATGAGAAGAGGTGCTATATTGGACACACCCTGAGAAGAGACGTACACACAATCACCAAACAGGAACTGAAATGAGAAATAGCAGGATTCAGGAGACGAGGAATCCCAGGAAAAACTCCAAGACGAACGTTGATGAGAGATGCCAACGATGCCGGACTGGATTCCATCTGTGATATCTAAGCGATTGCACTAGGTTGAACGGAATGGAGGAAAAGAGCCCTCTGTGACGTACATTGGCACAACAGGACAGGGAATGGATTTCTGTTCTATTTCTTTTAGTTTAATAACTTCCTTTCCGTTTCTTTTATTATCTCATGGTGATGTGCACATTAACTATCAGGCAAATTGTGGGAACGACACCTTGTACTAGATTCATCGATAAACAGCAGATCAAGTGGTTTGGCCATCTGGTTAGAATGCAGCAAGATCAAATACCATCACAAGCACTACATCTCAGAAGATCAACTACAAGAGCAAGAGGACGGCCGCGCAAAACATGGATCGACAACATTAAAGACACTCTACGCCTTCACGGCATTACAATAGCCAGTGGCAGCCAACGTGCACTGGATCGCAAATTATTCCTCCCCACGTCTCTTAACGGCAGAAGTGGTTTATGATGATGATGATATGCACATTTATTTTGCACTAGTTCATTCGGCCTTTATTCCACAGTGTCTACTTTTTTTTGCTTTTAACATAATAGTTTAGTCTGCGTTATAAAGTTCTGCCGCTAAAATAACTGGGACCCAGGATTCTTCTAACTGATTTAGCCTGTACATTTCCTACATTATTTACATTAAATGTTTCCCTTTCCTTGATTTGTAGTCTGAAGGTCTAATAGTAATGAGTCATATCATTGGAAAAAACGAGAGAGGGAGGGAGGGAGAGAGAGAGAGAGAGAGAGAGAGAGAGAGAGAGAGAGAGAGAGAGAGAGAGAGAGAGAGAGAGAGAGAGAGAGAAAGAAAGAGAACAGTTAAATAAAGAATGATCATAGGGACAGATAACTGATATTCTAGAAAATGTGACATTAGAAGTGAAAATGACATAGCCAGAAAACGGTAATTATCAATAGCCAAGTTTTGAAGCTGTTTTTTTGCACAATATTTGTGAAATGTAATTTCCCTTATAGAGAATAGATAGCATCAGTCGTCTTCCTACGCTTTTTCATTCATTTCTATCAGAAAATTGATTGTCATGTGCCTTGTAATTTCCTTATAAAATATTATGTTGCATCCTTTACTGGTTGCGGCTTTATATAACTGCGTCTATAGCTTCAGGATAATTTAATTGTATTTGCAACTTTGTCTTTTCCTTGCTTTCTTTTGTGGGCTGTAATGGCTGCATATTCCTGTAACTTTTTAAGGGCAAAGCCAACGGTAACAGAGCCCACGTTAGTGTTGTCTAAGTGAAACACAATAATGGGTAATGTTCAGGGTGAAATCTGGCGAAGCACATCGGTGCCGTCTTCGAGATTTAGATAGGAGACACTGTAAACAACGTCTCGTGGGAAAAGGTACCTTAGGGTGATTGTTGCATCTGAGTACTGAGCAAGTGTGGAAATACCCGTCGTGCACTGGCCTCGTTTGTGGTAACATAACATACGACAAACACAAAGTGAATCTCCTTGCAAACAGAATGGGATCAGCTGAAGATTAGAGAAGGCAAACTGAAAAGAATTACTTGATGAAATCAGATGAACATATTCGATCATGGGTCTGGAGACAATACAGTACTTTTTGATGTCGTCTTCTAGTTTGCCTATCCAGTGCTGCGGGTAGTTTCATGTCTCTACTTTTAGAGCCAGTCTCGCGGGAGTGGCAAAGGAATAGGGGTAGGGAATCCTCTTGAGGTCAGGTTTTCTGTACTTTGAAAAAGTTAGCATCTTTAGAAGCGAGATTGGTGTAGTCTTGTTTGTCGACCGCTTACCCAAGTACAATCTCCATGCAAAGATATCAAACCAGTCTAGAAGTAGAACTCGGCGGCGCACAGTCACCAGCGACTATTGAACCTGCTAGTAAAAAGCACTTATCAACATATGACACGAATAGACATTGTTAGTTACATACAAGAATGCACAGAAGCACTTACCCGAGGTTTCTCTAAGAAATATTAGCAGCAGTGGACAGTATCAACTCCGAAACAAGTGAGATACATACAGGTCGCGGATACTAGCCAGAAAGTCTAGTGTATCCATGATCGTGGTCTAAGTCGGTGAACTCTCGGTCCCCTCTCCAAACTCAGAAGCCAGTTAGGTGTGCACGACTGGTACCCGAACTTTGCATCGGGATATTCATAAGCTTAGGACAGTATTGCTAACTAGTAGGGTTGTACCGAATAGTGATTTTCACTATTCGGCCGAATACGAATACGAATAGTTTATCATCATCATTAGGTGCCTTGCCGACTGGCGTGGGCGATCATGCCTCTCCACAATCTGCGATCTCCTGCAGCATGTATTAGTTTGTGTGCCGACACACCTCCATGTCATGCAACAAGACTCAAGAATCTTCTCTTGTTGTCTTTCTCTATCCCTCCTTCCACAGATCTTTCCAGTGGTCACCACATGTTCCATTTTCCTTTCTCATAACATGGCCGAAAAATGACGACTGTCTCCTTCTGATGTCTGTGATTAGTTGTCTTCGGGCTCCCGCCTCTTTCAAAATCATCTTTCGCTCAGCCTTCGTTCAGTGTAATTTAAACGCACCTTCATATTCTCGTTAGCAATAACTTCAAATTTGATTTGGGCGAAGACACCCTGAAAGAAAGAAAAATACATGATCTCTCTCTCTCTCTCTCTCTCTCACACACACACACACACACACACACACACACACACACATACAGACACACACTCACACACACACATACAAACAAGCAACAACAACAACAAAAAAGAACCCACGTGCCTTTAAATATAAGTGCTTGCGAAACGGGTATAAGGTAACCACTATTCGTATTCGGCCCGACCGCAAGTATTCGGCCGAATACCGAATAGTTATTAGGTCCACTGTTCGGCCCCGAAGCGAATACGAATCGAATATTCGGTACAATTCTACTAGCTAGCTCAGCATATAGGAGCAAGAAGGCTGGACCGAGGCCCCGGCTGGTAGTGTTTCCACCACGGATTTAGCTGTTTTGCCACCAGGCAACAAAGACCAAGAATCTTAAATTGGTAGGAGGATTGCAACTGCCGGAGAGACAAAGAACCAACAGTCTGCATACAAAGAAGCTACATATGTAAAACAAATATACACGCAAAACTCGAGATCTCAAACAATGTCAAAGTCCAGAAGTGGATGAACAACCCGAAATTTGCACAGGAGCTCACATACGGTGAATGCTACAAAAAGAAAACATTGTTTATGCATAGCGGCGTTTATAAAAGATTATAATGAAGATGATATTTTATTACCATTTTCTTTGTAATCCTTGCAGACTTAGAGATTGTCTCCTCATATCGGGGTGCTTGCACTGGCCGCCTTTGTTTTCCGGAATATTTTCTGGTACTCACTTTAGGCTGAGCCCAGCTCAGTTTTAAATCCTGCTGCCTGGAGATAGAACTTGTGACTGCTGAGCTGACAGATAAGAGCACCGGCGACTGCCTCAGTGTGGCTCTCCGGTTATATGGTGTTTATTGTGAACTTGTTTATGTCATCCACAGAGCCCCCTACACAGATCACCATCTCAGTGTAAACGGGAACAGAAGCGGCGACCCAAGCCAAAGGATGGAACAGTTCTCTTCTGCGGTGTTTGTGGAGACAGGGCTCTGGGTTATAACTTCGATGCCGTCAGCTGCGAATCTTGCAAGGCGTTTTTTCGAAGAAATGCGCTCAAGACAAAGGTATGTGTTTGTAATTAAGTGTGTTTGTTGACAGTAAACAGACAGTAAAAGAAACCCTGTTTTATATCATTGGGACATTATAAATATTGTGCTTGGGTCCTGTGATTGAGAGATCTGCAGCAAAGACTCCTTAATTACTTTGTGACACTTCTTACTCTAAGACACAATTATTATAGTCTAAAATGTTCGCCCAGCATGCAGACACCAGATCAAAACTATTGAGAAGTAGTATATGATGACCCTTGCAGACATGTGTATTTTTACCTACTTTAAGTGACAATTTCGAAAAGCACTTCCAGACTTTCAGAGTCCATTTTCCATTGTTGGGTTGTTGAACAGGAGAAAACAACTCAACCACTGACTGTGAAGTACATCGTTTCTGACGTCATTGGCTTTGGCGTGTGATACCCACAGTTTTATATGCGATTCCAATGATTTGAGCAATGTGGAAAATTGCTGCTGTTTTATAGAAGACACAGAGAAAACTTGAAAGTAATATACCTAGAACGTCATTGCACTGGAACCCACGGTACTGAAGATATACTTACTTACTTACTTAGTCGCTCCTCTTCTACCTTGGGGTGTAGAGGTTTGCCAGAGAGATCGCCAGACGTCTCTATCAGCAGTTTTCTTTCTGGCTTTGTTCCATTCCACTCCTCTGTCAGTCAGGGACTGTCGGATGTTGTCTTCCCAGCGCACCCTGGGTCGTCCCGGAGGTACTGAAGATATAAATACATAAAAAGATTATTTGACTAAGAATGTTGGAGATTGAGGTTAAAAACGCATGGGCTGAGATACACTTATGGCAAAGTATATAACAATTTGATGCAGGTTAGTCAAGAGCATGTGAAAGGGATAAAGGGAAGAAGTAAAAAAAAAAAAAAAAAAAATTAGAGGTGATGTACTGATGTTCCTGCAGTGAAAGATAATTGCAAACAAACACTTACGACAGAATATTTTTTTGTCAGCAATTTACATGTAGCTTTGAAGGCAACTGTAAGATGGATCCTCACACCCGCAAATTCTGCTCTGGATGTCGGCTGAGAAAGTGCTTTAACATTGGCATGAAGAAAGAATGGATTCTAGGTGAGTTATTTAAATATCAGATATTGCTGAGAAAGTGCTTTAACATTGGCATGAAGAAAGAATGGATTCTAGGTGAGTTATTTAAATATCAGATATTGCTGAGAAAGTGCTTTAACATTGGCATGAAGAAAGAATGGATTCTAAGTGAGTTTTTTAAATATCAGATATTGCTGAGAAAGTGCTTTAACATTGGCATGAAGAAAGAATGGATTCTAGGTGAGTTATTTAAATATCAGATATTATGTGATCATCTACACCCTGCCTGTTGTAGCAACTCTTTATGTAACCTCCAAGTTCATTGAAATGTGTTAGAAACTGTTACAGTAATAATGCCAACAAATTTGCTGTCACATACATTATCTACATATGACAAACATACACATGCATGCACACAAACTCACATATTTACACTGTATATGAACATATATATACACAAACACAGCCACACACTGGCATACACACCACCATAAATACACATAGGCAGACATAAACGCTTACAAATGTACACACAGATGTATACACACAGGCATAACTCCACATGTATGTCATAAATGGCAGCTAGGTTGCAAAGTGGCGGAACCACACCTGATAGTGCATCAGGTCCAAGTCCCATACTGGTCGAGACCTATCTACACCTCTCTGTGGTCTGCCTGTCTGGGAGTCAAGGAACCAACAGTCTTCAGACAAATAAGCCAGGTCAGTAAGAGAAATGAGCAAGCAGCACTCAAATCCTGGAACAAGACCAAAGTCCTGAAGTGGATAAACATTCCACCAGTTTACAGCCCTGGATGCTTAAAGAAGAAGAAAAGAAGATAAAAGATAGCAAAGGAAAGTCGGTATAGATCTGGCTACCTCATGTCTTTAAAACAGTTTAGTTCCAACATACAAGTCTTTAATAGGTTTAGCACGGGCCTTCTGTGTGGCTGTGCAAGGCAGAAGGCACAAATAATCTTGGGAAGGAGAGGTTAATATAACTTAGGGACACCATGGATGAATGTGACAACTGGTTGTAATGTAAATAATTATTGGTATACAGATGGGAAAATATCATATGTGATTGGGACAAAAAGAAAACTTGTACAAAGGTGGGATAATATATGATTTGGACAGAAATAATAATTGGTACAAAGGATAATATAATATATGATAAGGGCATAAATAATAACCAGTACAAAGATGGGATAACATTATATATAATATGTGACTGGGCTAGAAATAGTAACTGGTATCTTGCTGTTGGCCTTCATAAGCTAAACAAGTTCCAGAAACAAAACACACATGGTTCTGCTGATGAAGGCTATTCTCCATAATGTCCTTTGTTTATTGTAATTGGTTTTGTTCCACTTAATCTTTTTCTGTCTTCTTCAACTGTCTAGGATAGAAGTAGTACCTAGAATATATCATGGTAAGGACTGTCTGGAACAAAAGGAGCGTATAAAGAATTTACTAACCCTATCTGACCTGTCATATCAATGTTGTGTCCTTTGTGTGCTCTGTCCAGATGAAGATCAGCTTGTGAAACGAAGACAGCGTCAGCAAACAAAACAGTACTGTGCTGGGGATTCCCAGCCTTGCTCATCTACTTCCAATGACCTGCTTGGGGAAGACGCTTGTTTGTCATACATACCAAGAGAGTATCAGCCATCCGCTCACACACACCAGCAGCAGCAGCAGCATCTCCAGCCCAACAGTAGTACATGCCACAGTGGAAGCGACAGCAATGACTACATGCCTCTCACACCTGCCAGTTACTACGACTCATGCTCGCCACCAGGTTCCACAGCTCTCAAGCGTCATTATTCTATTTCTTATGGTAATTCGTGCTCTCCAACATCCACGACCTCACCACAAGCATTCACACCTCAACAGGTGCCAGTGCCAACACCTGCCCAGCTCATATGCGGCAGCCAGCATGATGCTGTAGCTAAGCTGCCCAAGCTGGAGTACCCTTTAGAAGATGATGATTGCTACTATGGCAGTATCTCTGAAGTTCCTACTGTCACTCCTCTTCTGGACCAAGTAAGCTTTTATGATGACCTGACAAAGTGCTCAATGATAAAATATGAGATGATAGATGACAATGAGAACTATGTGATACCTTTGGATCCTGCAGTACGAAACTGTCTGCAGGAGCTATCCAAGACATACGATGAAATTTTTGAAGCAGCATATACACAGGATCAGATCTCAAAGCTCACGTCTAAGCCGAAGACAGCAGATCAGCTTTTTAACATGACTGATGTATTTATTCGAAGACTGATTCGGTTTGCTAAACATATCCCTGAATTTAAAAGCCTTTCTCAGGCAGACCAGATTCATTTACTGAAGGTATGTTGTTTTTAAAGCCCATTCTGTACCAATAAATCCCATTGCGTTTATCATTTACTTTGTATAATCAGGATACTACAAAAATTGTAATTTGTATTATTTTCAGACTGTTTTTGCAAACTCTATCTGTTTTGTTACTTTCAAACATTTGTTTCCTACACATATACACGGGCGGGCACCCACTGCCACCTGCATGCACGCACACACACACACACACACACACACACATGCACGCACGCACGCATGCACGCACGCACGCACGCACGCGCGCGTACCATCTGAAAAAGTGGGACCAAATATTTGTTTCAGATATCCATGCCTCTTAACCAGCACATTGTCAAAGGTGGCTAATTAAAGGGTTTGCTAAAATATAATGATTTAAGTCATAAGGAACAGATATTTCAGCCTAGCTGTGAACCACGATGTGGTGTGCCAGCGAGCAAAGAAGAATAAAAAGAATAAGAAGAAGATAGATGTGTGTGCCTCATGTGTGCAGATACATTAGATATCAGATGGACCAGATGGAGCAATGATTTTGTCAATACACATACTTCTAACACTTAGCTGGCTTGTACAGATTCGAAGGTTGGTAAAAGTCCTGAATAAAACCTCTCAGATGAATTATAAATGTGCAGAAGATATCAGGTGAGGCCTCTTCTTCGATATAGAGATATGTACAAGAGGAACATGAATAATACAGGTATCTGGGATGTAATCTGGTGTACTGGATGCCATGGACCACTTTGCTTGTGGGAGAACGATTGGGGTGATGGTGGGTGCGGGAAAAAGCAACAAAGGAGAACATGATTTTTGAATGGTTGAGAGCTAAGTATTTGAGAAAAAATGCAACATGTGCTGAAAACTGCAGTCCTGAAAAATGTTGAATTAGTGCCCCATCCACATCCTCAGCAGCAGGCGAGGAGTTCCAATTCCGATGGCACCAGTGATTGATTGCATATTCGTCTCGCCCTTCCCTTGGGTGTTGAGCGTCGGCGAGATCCCCTGGTAATTCCCCGCTGCGCCATTCTCCTCAGACCGTAATGATCTGTCTGTGCCTCTGCGCCTTTCACTCGCTCCTAAAGGGCCCTCACAACATCTAGCTTGTCATACATAAATTCATCACCAAGTGGTGCAGAACCGGCCAGTCTATCTGCCAACTAATTTTCCAATACACTGGCATTACCTGGAGAAAATATCCAAAGGATGCTAACTACCCAGGACCTCTGAAGTGATTGCACTTGTGGAAGAGTGAGTGAACACACTTTTGTTTAAAGGACCACAAATTGGGCATGCAGGCCTGTCTTACATTCAGCCATACCAGACACACATCTTTCCCATAGCAGTTGTATTGTATCTATATTTCATGTTTATGAAGAAGTATCCATAAAATGAATGTTTGAATAAAAACACAAAAGCGTTAGTGGCAAAGAAGAATTTTCCTAACATAGCTAGTCTTGGTGGTCACATTGGTCGTGGGTTCAATTCCTGTATCTCTCTGTAAGAGGGTCTCTGTGATTAAGTGATCAAGCCGTTTGCCTTACTCTCTGAAGGTCATAGTCTCATTTCCTTTTTCGTTCATGAATATAGTTTTTGCAGAGACCCCTAGGGATTGTCACCAGAGCTATGATGTTCTTGCTTTATGCCATAATCTCAGAAGGTGGCTAGCCATTCTGCAGTAAGAGGCCGAGTCATGTGTGATCATTGAAGTCTGTTGTCGATGCATTTGATGTGATATATATATATATATATTTATATAAATATATATGTGTGTGTATAAATATCTATGTTTGTGTGTGTGTATGCATGCGTGCATGTGTGGGTGAATGCATCTGGTGTGCATCTGCATGGGTGTGTGTGGGGCATGGCGGTGAGATGCACGCACAACATTTAATAGCAAGCATGTCGCAGGAGTTGACTAACTAGAGACTCCCATCAAAGTTGGTGTGCATCTGCCCACGCAGCAAGGAACAACCATTTGCATACAAAAAAGCCTGTAAAGCGGATTAACACACAAAACTGAGGCCCTGGCACAAAGCCAAAGTCCAAATGGGTTAAAAACCAGGACTTTCTGTCGCAGCTTACAGCCAGTGAACAAAGAAGAAGAAAACATTTAATAAACAAGTCTGTTTTGTCATTACTCAGTAGTACTGTTTAATGTATTATGAGGTTACTGTTAAACATGATTTTCTGGTTTTTCTTCACAGGGAGGAATAATGGAGATGTTTGTCCTTCGCTCAGCCATGGGTTTTGACTCCAGTCATAATGCATGGAAGTTCAAAGTCCAGCAGACTGGTTCACCTGATGGCCCAAAAGTAGAAGGCAAATTAGATTCGTCAGTCATCAATACATTAGGCTCATCTATGTTCATGCAGCACATACAGTTTGTACGCCAGCTGCAAGAAGTATCAGACAAGAACAGAACCGTCTTGATGCTTCTTTTCATCATTGAGCTTATGTCTCCAGACCGGGCCAACCTTATAGACAAGCAGAAGGTCTCCCAGTGTCAGGAACGCCACTCCATGTGGCTGAAAGCATATTTAGAATCCATTCATACAGTGGCTGAGGCGAAGGTCCTCTACCCTAAACTGCTGGTCAAACTACTAGATGTCCGGAATCTGGGAGAGGAAAGTTGTCAGATGACATCCAGTTTAGATATCACAAATCTGGAGCCACTTCTTGTAGAGGTTTTTGATCTCAAATAACAAGCAACTAATTCTTTCAGTCCTAGGAGATCATTATTTCAGCTGGTTCTGTCTGAAGCAGTTGCCATTAGAAGCTGTGTTTGCCCTTAAAAGGGACGCTGGCATGTTATGTTGTGGTTTTACAGCTAGGCTGCGATATGTGCCCTTTTCGATAAATGTTCTGTTAAACCAAGTGTAAACAATACCTCTTTTGGACAGCAAGAGTTAATTGGTAAGGAATGGATTAATGTAACAACTAGCTGAGGTATCAACAGTGAAAAAAGGGTCAGCATAAGAGCTAACAATTAGTTCATAATGAGTTGTTTGGTAATGAGTTAACCTAATGGCTCTACAGATATTGGTGATTTTGCTTGTAATTTGACATGAACAGTTCAGATATATAAAAGTGACATTCCTTGAATGCACTTAACAGATATATGGAGTTTCATTGTAATATAGCTTCACATTTAGAGGGTATAATTCTCACTCTGATATTTCATCCTTTGCCTTATTCATAAATATATGCTGACTCAATTTATTAATTGTCACATAACACTAAGACAACCTCTCATGTGTCTCCTAATTTTTTGGGGCCTACTTTTGTAGTTACAAGGTTAGAAAGACCCAGAGAGCTTGACGAATGAAAACGCACACACAGTCTGTTTTAACCAAAGTCTTTAATAATAGATAAAATGATGAGGCTGCGGAAGACCTGGCCTGAAGGTCTAGTACTCAACCCTGTATCACAGCAGATTTGTTCCCCTTCAAAATTAACCTTGACTTCCAGGTTGACCCAGCCTTAAATGTGTGCTAAGTTTCTGGTCCTGGCAAGTGCAATTTGGTCTGTACAAATATATTTCTAGCTCTATTTGCCAGATGTGTGATATGGTTGAAAAGAGCCCTCACATATTTGGTATAGAAGACTGATCTTAACGCCAAGATGTTACATCCTTATTTGGTATAGAAAACATCTTAAAGCCAAGATGTTACATCATTACTTGGTATAGAAAACATCTTAAAGCCAAGATGTTACATCATTACTTGGTATAGAAAACATCTTAAAGCCAAGATGTTACATCCTTCATTACTTGGTATAGAAAACATCTTAAAGCCAAGATGTTACATCCTTCATTACTTGGTATAGAAAACATCTTAAAGCCAAGATGTTACATCCTTCATTACTTGGTATAGAAAACATCTTAAAGCTAAGATGTTACATCATTACTTGGTATAGAAAACATCTTAACGCCAAGATGTTACATCCTTCATTACTTGGTATAGAAAACATCTTAAAGCCAAGATGTTACATCCTTCATTACTTGGTATAGAAAACATCTTAAAGCCAAGATGTTACATCCTTACTTGGTATAGAAGACTGATTTTAAAGCCAAGATGTTACATCCTTACTTGGTACAGAAAACTAATCTTAAAGCCAACATGTTATATCCTTACTTACTCAGTACAGAAAACTGATCTTAAAGCCAACATGTTATCCTTACTTACTTGGTATAGAAAACTGATCTTAAAGCCAAGATGTTACATCCTTCCTTACGTGGTATAGAAAACATCATAAAGCCAAGATGTTACATCCTTGCTTACTTGGTATAGAAAATATCTTAAAGTCAAGATGTTACATCCTTACTTACGTGGTATAGAAAATATCTTAAAGCCAAGATGTTACATCCTTGCTTACTTGATATAGAAAACTGATCTTAAAGCCAAGATGTTACATCTTTACTTGGTAAAGAGAACATCTTAAAGCATGGATGTTACATCCTTACTTGGTATAGAAGACTGATCTTAAAACCAAGATGTTACATTCAACAGTAACACAGAAGTTATGTGTTACATTTCGTTGTTGTGCTTGTTAGTGTTGTATAGGTCAGACATATAAGTTTTCAAAATATAAAAGTCACTGATCACAACATAATAGTTGATTCACCACCATAGAGACAGCTAGAACACCAGTTACAAATCACATGGTTTGGCCATGTAACAAGATTGCCATGAGACAGGGCACCACAGAAAGCAAAGTTATTTAGATATAACAGTAACAGAGCCAGAGGTCCACCACGCAGAAAATGAACCACAGAAATATCAGAGACACTGAAAAGTATTTTATACGAAGTGAACAGAAGGGCTCATTCCAGAGATCTCTTCCTGCCCTGATGCCACAAGGCATTTAAGGTGTAGAAAAAAAGAAGAAGAAGAATCTGCATACTCAAAGACATATCTGTATGGGTTGATGAGTACATATGTTTATGTGTGTGCGGGGGAAAAAAGTGGAGGGTTATGGGTAAAAATAGGAAAGAGTGTTGTGTTGTTATATGTATATGGGGGGGGGGGGGGGGGAAAGAGGAATGGGTAAAAATAGGAAAGAGTGGGTATATGGGGGGGGGGGGGAGGAATGGGTAAAAATAGGAAAGAGTTATATATGTATATGGGGGGGGGGGGGTAAAAATAGGAAAGAGTTATATATGTATATGGGGGGGGGGGGTAATAAAAATATAAGAGTTATATGTATATGGGGGGGGGAGGAATGGGTAAAAATAGGAAAGAGTTATATATGTATATAGCGGGGGGGGGGGGGGATGGGTAAAAATAGGAAAGAGTTATATGTGTATATAGCGGGAGGGGGGGGGGGGAATGGGTAAAAATAGAAAAGAGTGATATATGTATATGGGGGGGGGGGAGGAATGGGTAAAAATAGGAAAGAGAGTTATATATGTATGGGGGGGGGGGGGAGGAATGGGTAAATCCTGTAAAGAATAGCAACTAATGTTTTTTTCATTTTTCAATACCATATGCCTAATGAGCCATTGGCGAGAAAATGGTCCTTTACTTGACTTATTTGTTGGTTTTGACAGTGGTATCGAGAAGCCGACCATCCAGAAAGCAATGGCAAACTACTGGACGTAAATTTACCTAGAAAAACCACAACAGCCAAAAAATGCTGGGGTTGGTTCTGCAACATAATGTAAAGGATACGCAACTAACTAACTTGACTTATTTAGGGATATGGGAAACACATAAATATTTACATACTCATTTTATTCACAATATTTGACAAAAATAATGTGATTTGAAATTGCAAAGTATAGGAAGTGTATTGTTTAAGGACAAAAGTTATTGAATTAAGTAAGGTTCAAACACTGTTCCCCCCCCCCCCCACCCCCTCCCCAGAACCCTTACCCCCACCCCTCCCCCTTCGTTTCTCTTTCTCTCACACACACACTCACATACACACTCACAAACACATGCACATGTGAGTGCAGGACACTTACACTCAGACACACAGCTTTAACTACTAAGTTATTCTGTTTGAAACATTCAGTCATTATTATTATTGGATAGTTTATGCTTAATAGCCTGTTTGTTTGATTTTTGTGTGTGTGACTTACTTACTGCTGCAACATTACAGTTTATGATCTGTAAAAGTAAATATGTACTATGTATAAATATAAATATACTCTTGGGCTGTTAAATTTATGATTACATTACATATGAAATGTTTCTGGCATGTTTGTTCTTTGACCACAAGCAGTTTTAATGCTTGATATTCACTTGTTCTTGCCTTCTGTGGTTCATTGTTTCATATATAGAACACAGTCAGATGTGAATTTATTTGTACAGAATGTTGCAGTGTGATCCAGAGACCATTTACCCAGAGCCTTTGTTTACTTGTGTCCTGTTAATCTCTATACCTCAACTATTTTATTGGTTAAATGTTTTGCCATACATGTTTCGGGCAGTAATAATAATTGTATCCATTTTTGTTTCATATATTTATATTTCTTAGATTTGTGTGCACTTACTTATTTAATATATTCATATTAATGGAAATAAATTATATTATCTAAAGTTGAAATGCATATACAAGAAAGATTTTGTTTTATTGCCGGTTGTTCTCATAATTATGTCAGTGTTATTGGGAATAACATATACATGTGTATATTTATGCGTACTGCCACCTAGGATATAATAACTATGTACGGGTAAAATAGTTTGAAAAACCTGAAGCATAATACCAAATAATTACCAAGAATAAAACTGTTGAGGGCATGCATGTTTTCAAAGACAAATTATAGATGCGAATCATAGACCTTTTCATAAACATTAAAGAAAAAGTTGAGATTTTCTGGAAGTTTGTTACACACAAAAATAATTGTTAGAAATATTGAGATAAAGATGGAGAAATCTTTCATCTGAGGAATGCTGGTATATTAATATCATATCATGGAAACTGAAATACTTTGGACAGCTTGAACTTTATTGATTGTAGTTCAAAAACGCCAATGATGATAATATACATTGCTTCTGAAACATGAGGCGGGGATTGACAGAAACAACAGTGGACTCAAGACATCAAAGAAACCTGAAATATGTCAACAGAACATAAAGCAAACTGTGAACATGGCAGTGGATCTTCTTCATCTTCTTCTTCTTATTATTCTTTGTCTCCTCCTCCTTCTTCTTCATCTTCTTCATCTTCTACATTTACCTTTGAAAGGGCACTTGACACACTGTGTTGTAGTTTACAGCGAGGGTGTGACAGCTGCACATTTTGGTCCTACAGCCCCAGTTTCTGCAAACCCCTAATTAGTCACCTGTTAAGGCCTGCTTGTTAGGAAAGCCACAAGGTAAAGGACTCATTTCGCTCCAGTGGCGCAACAAGCATATGGTGCTAGGCTCTGGTTTTTATTGTAGACCAATCAGCTTTCAGTGTGCCAGAATTTACTGCCAGTGAATGCACAGAAGAAGAAATCGAAGAAGAATAGTATTGCTAAGATCATCTAATTATTGTAAATTAATTTGTACATTTATGTTATTATAATAGAAAGTGCTGTCATCTCAAGAGCTCTTTCACAGACTGCATTGTCTTAAAGTGCTAAATTTTATAATTTTAGTTAGCAACATCACTAATAAAATATTTTGTTCACACTTTGTCATTGAAAATATGGCTGATATACAGTGCAGACTGCTTTAGGCATTCTCGGATGCAGTAAATTTATGTTGTGAAC